AAGGGCTATGCTTACGCTATCTACAGTATGTCATTTGTATTTTTATTTATTAGGGATTCCCCATTAGCTGCTGCCAAGGCAGCAGCTACTCTTCCTGGGGTCCAAACATTAAAACACTTACATATAAAACAGTACATCATATCATTATTACACCACTACCTATCTACAATACAAAATGTTTAATACCACCATACAACAATATCACAATGTGTGCGTATGCATGTGTCTATACCTTTGTGTGTGTCTCTTCACAGTCCCCGTTCCATAAGATGTATTTTTACCAGTGTTTTTATATCTGATTCTACTGCTTGCATCAGTTACCTGATGTGGAATAGAGTTCCATGTAGTCATGGCTCTATGTAGTACTGTGCGCCTCCCATAGTCTGTTCTGGACTTGGGGACTGTGAAGAGACCTCTGGTGGCATGTCTTGTGGGGTATGCATGGGTGTCCGAGCTGTGTGCCAGTACTCCAAACAGACAGCTCGGTACATTACAAAAACAAGCAGTGATGAAGTCAATCTCTCTTCCACTCTAAGCCAGGAGAGACTGACATTCATGTCATTAATGTTAGCTCTCCGTGTACTTTTAAGGGTCAGCCGCGCTGCCCTGTTCTGAGCCAACTGCAATTTTCCCAAGTCCCTCTTTTTGGCACCTGACCACACTACTGAACAGTAGTCTAGGTGTGACAAAACTAGGGCCTGTAGGACCTAACTTGTTGATAGTGTTGTTAAGAAGGCAGAGCAGAGCTTAATTATGGACATACTTCTCCCCATCTTAGCTACTGTTGTATCAATATGCTTTGACCATGACAGTTTACAAGCCAGGGTTACTCCAAGCAGTTTAGTCACTTCAACTTCCTCAATTTCCACATTATTCGTTACGAGATGTAGTTGAGGTTTAGGGTTTAGTGAATGATTTTACCCAAATACAATGCATTTAGTTTTGGAAATATTTATGACTAATTTATTCCTTGCCACCCGTTCCGAAACTAACTGCAACTCTTTAAGTGTTGCAGTTATTTCAGTTGCTGTAGTAGCTGACGTGTATAGTGCTGAGTAATCCGCATACATAGACACACTGGCTTTACTCATTCCTGATTCTACCTGGATTAAGTTTGAGAGGCTTCCATTAAAGAACACCTCTGTGTTCGGTTAGATAAGTCACTCTTTATCCACATTATAGCAGGGGGTGTAAAGCCATAAAACATGTTTTTCCAGCAGCAGACTATGATCGATAATGTCAAGCCACACTGAAGTCTAACAAAACAGCCCCACAATCTTTTTATCATCAATTTCTCTCAGCCAATCATCAGTCATTTGTGTAAGTGCTGTGCTTGTTGAATGTCCTTCTCTATAATCATGCTGAAAGCAGTGGCGGCTCCTGAAAAAATTCTCAGGGGGGGCAATTTTTCTGATGATTTAGGTGACCTACACACATTTTTTAAAAGATATGTCCAGCAACAACATGAAGACAGGGGCAGCATATAAGTCAATACCAGAAGCATTTATTGACTGATCTCAAAAGTGTTGGCTTACAAAAGCAAAATAAGTTATCACAGTAAAAATAATCAAGGGTGTTCTTTCACATTCCTCAACACTGCATAAACAATATGCATTTCCATAAAACACCTCATCTAATTGTGCCACAAAGTTGACAAGTCCAAGAAAAATACCAGGGTTGGTGGAGCCCTCAGTTTCATCTTTGCCTCGCAAAGCTAACTCAAACACTCCGCAAAACTTCACACACTGGATTAGCCGGCTGAGGATGTGGCGGTTCTTGCTAACCTCATCGTTGTGGCGGCGGACAGCTAGCCTGTATCCCTCATCCAGTTGAGTGGCAATGTTCACTCTCCCCAAAGCAGACAATCTCAAACAGCTATCCATGTGGGTCTTTGACAGCTCATGTTTCTTAATCTTTTCTGAAAGATGGTGCATGTCCGTTACACCAGTCGCTGTCCAAGCGGTGCTGTCTGCCGTGCCGCCTTCAGGGTGAAAGAGTAAGCAGGGGTAGCAGAAGACTGCATTAGCTACGTCGCAGCCTGCTAGCCAGGTTTTTCGTTCGTACCAATTTTTGGAAAATCCTCGGGTGTAGGACTTTCCCCCTTTAGTAGAAACCTGTTGAATTATTAAATTTGGTCTGGGAGGTCCTAATTGTTTCGTTGCCAATTTATCTTGATTTGTTCGCCGACAAAAAGGAACTTCTTTCAAAGAGACAATCGAGTTGCACTGAACGCTAGCCATCTTGACAGCAGTACGTGAATTGATTGACGCTGCTACCCGCTCTTTTCTTAGTTATGTTCATGGTTATGTTACGTATGACGAAAGCGCGTAAGTGCAAGCCCTCCCGGAACCCATAGAGATTGTATTGAAAGCTCTGATATTTGATTTTACATGAGAGTCTATGACAGACTTCTGGGGCGATTTTCAACCTGACTGAAATCGCCCCAAAAGGGGCGGGGCCATTTGAAGCACGACTTTAGCCTGATTGGACATTTAGTGGCAGATCAGACGTCTAGATTAGAACACTGATAACTACTGTTGCCGTGATATAATTGATTAGAAAAAAAATCCCTTCCTTTTCCCGTTTGGCAGTGCGTCGCCCATATCGCCCTAATGAACACACCGCCCCTGGCTGAAAGTTTGTTGTCAATTAGTTTACTGTAAAATAGCATTGTATCTGGTCAAACACCATTTTCCCAAATAGTTTACTAAGGGTTGGTAACAGGCTAATTGGTTGGCTATTTGAGCCAGTAAAGGGGGCTTTACTATTCTTAGGTAGTGGAATGACTTTTGCTTCCCTCCAAGCCTTGGGCACACACTTTCTAGTAGGTTTAAATTGAACATATTGTAAATAGGAGTGGCAATATCGTCCGCTATTATCCTCAGTAATTTCCCATCCAAGTTGTCAGACCCCGGTGGCTTGTCATTGTTAATAGACAACAGTAATTTTTTCACCTCTTCCACACTCACTTTACAGAATTCAAAATGACAATACTTGTCTTTCATAATTTGGTCAGAGATACTTGGATGTGTAGTGTCAGCAATTGTTGCTGGCATGTCATGCCTAAATTTGCTAATCTTGCCAATGGAAAAAGTATTAAAGAAGTTGGCAATATCAGTTGGTTTTGTGATGAATGAGCCATCTGATTCAATGAATGATGGAGCTGAGTTTGTCTTTTCCCAAAAAATTTCATTTAAGGTGCTCCAAAGATTTTTACTTTCATTCTTTATATCATTTATCCTTGTTTCATAGTGTTGTTTCTTCTTCTTTTTATTCAGTTTAGTCACATGATTTCTCAATTTGCAATACGTTTGCCAATCGGTTGTGCAGCCAGACTTATTTGCGATTCCTTTTGCCTCATCCCTCTCAAACATACAATGTTTTGGTATCCCAGTTTCTAAACAGAGATTGTACAGTATGCATCTCTGTCTAGCAGTATAACACTAACATGCTACCCAGACCGCGGAAGTTGATTTTGACCCCCCACACCAGACGCGATCAGGACATGCAGGTTGAAATATCAAAATAAACTCTGAACCAATTATATTAATTTTGGGACAGGTCGAAAAGCATGACTGTAAATCGCTTTGGATAAAAGCGTCTGCTAAATGGCATATTATTATTATTATTATACATGTATGGCAATTTAGCTAGCTAGCTTGCTGTTGCTACCTAATTTGTTCTGGGATATAAACATTGGGTTGTTATTTTACCTGAAATGCACAAGGTCCTCTACTCCGACAATTAATCCACAGATAAAACGGTAAAAATGTGTTTGCTAGTAATCTCTCCTCCTTCAGGCTTCTTCTTCTTCTTTGGACTTTATATGGCGGTTGGCAACCAACTTTATGGTGCCTTACCACAACCAACTGGACTGGCGCATAGACCTCAGTTCATCTTTCAATTACCCACGTGGGTAGATGCTCCTAAAAACCAATGAGGAGATGGGAGAGGCAGGACTTGCAGCGCGGTGAGAGTCACAAATAGAACCGAGTTCTATTTTAGTGCCTGGCCACGCAGATGCTCGCGAGCAGTGTGGGTGCAATGATTGAATAACATGTATGTGTACATTTCTTTTGCAACGCTCGCGGTCAGCATGTAACCCACCTAGTCCAATATTGGACTAAATGAGCCTAATGTTACTCCTTAGAACAAGGACCTTACATGTTTTGTTTAAAGGCCAAATTGGTTCTGGAAGCCAATGCGGTACTGTTCTAGAAACATAAATCCCTCTACTTTCAAATCACATCAAAATAATTTCACAAATGGAAAATACACACTTACTGTACACTGTTTTAACCGGCTCTTAACAAAACACCCCCCTACAGAAGACGCCTTCTTCCAATGAAGCTTATGTGTAATGTAATGGAACTGTGAGTCATGATCAAGCGCTATAACCACTTTTCCCATATCAAAGGCTATATCTGTGATCTGTGACGGTTCTGATAACGACTGCGTTGTTTGTATCGTGGAGCAGTGCACAGGAAATAATAAAATCCAATTGTTAAATGCTATCAAAACCAAACCTGGATGTCAATGTTTTGCGCACAGCATGGTGCCTGTATTGCGAGGTTGATTAGCTAGACAAATGGATGTGAAACAGACAGGTGTGCGCGCAAAGCGAGACATCATGGAATCCATATTTTGTTTTGATTTGGAGGGGGTGGTAGCATCTAATAAATAAATTATTTATTGGGCACTGCTCAGCGATGCAAACGATGAGTTTTCAATCACAACCGTCTACCAATTACGGATATACCTTTGTTCGTGGGAAAAGTGTCACCTAACAGGCACAGTCACGGGTCGGCAAATAACTTGCAAGGTGAGTACATTTTATACAGCTAGACCAGAGTTCCACTGGGTATCTATCACTAGAACACAGTTCCACTCTGGTCTAGGAAATGGGCCATCTGGCTTCAGTGTGGATGTTCAATCCACACTGAAGTCAGAAGAGAAGTGTGTGTCATGTACATCTACTGGGTTTACTTTCAGCTGTAACCATGGTGATGAAGTCATCAGTTGAGGATGATGATGTGGGATGGGGACTGGGTGTCCCAGAGAAGATGAGGAACAATGCAAACTGGGTGGACATTACACATGACTTCAAAGAGGCATGCAAAGGTACAAGCTCAGTGTGTGTGTTTTCTTACATGCTTTAACACTTTTTTTCAGGATGTGCTGGTGATTTGAGTTCTTGGGGGCTTTTGATACTTGCCCCTCTCGTTTGTTTGTTGGACAGTTCTGAAATACCTTCCCTGGTAAATCAGGTTTCTCATCAAAAGATTGGTGTAAATTTACATTTTACATTTTTAGTCATTTAGCAGACGCTCTTATCCAGAGCGACTTACAGTTAGAATCACACAACCAGTAAAATAAAGGCCTGTACAGTACAGCAATTCCTAATGTATATCCAGTGTTTTCAGCTCTGTGGGAATTTGGTGCCACCAGTCTGAAATGGAAGCTGGATGGCACAGGTTAACATGCCCTGCTGACCCCATTGACATCAATGCATGACTAAGTCCAAATTAAATTTAAGTAGAAGTTAGGATTCACCATTTGGCGTCTAACTCCTGTGTATCTCTTCATACAGTACATACTGGTGTTACACTGTACTACTGTAACATAAATACTGCTTTTATCATTATAGTTCAGATGACTGAATACTTTTGCATTTGTTTTCTCTGTTGTATTTACAGAGCTCAACCTTGGGGAGTTGCTCCATGACAAATTGTGAGTATGAGTGTTTGTTTGTTTCACACTGTTCTAATCAACCATTAGTGAAATACTGAAGTGCTTGCAGTCTGCCTCATTAATGCATACACTGTATCTATCACTAGACAACACACACACACTTTCGGTATTTCTAATGGCACATTTTTCAGCAGGTTTGGCCTGTTTGAGGCTATGTCTGCCATTGAGATGATGGACCCCAAGATGGACGCCGGGATGATTGGCAACCAGGTCAACAGGAAAGTCCTCAACTTTGAACAGGCAGTCAAGGTATGGCTCTGATTCCTGGAGTTTCAGACTGTAAAATTAAAATGTTGGTCTTATGTTGAACCTTTAGTGAAGTGCATTATAGTCCATAAAGACTCTCCCCCTCCCTTTCGTATCCTCTCTCTCTCCTCTCTTGTCTCTAGGATGGTGCCATCAGAGTGAGGGACCTCAGTCTTCCTGAGCTGATTGGGATCATGGACAACTGTTTCTGCTGCTTGGTCAGTTTTATTGCCTTATCAATACCAAACTGTATCAACAAACTATGCATAATAATTACCAATCAAAACAAACGTAAGTATGTGTGTGTAGATCACCTGGCTGGAGGGTCACTCCCTAGCCCAGACAGTGTTCACCTGCCTGTACGTCCACAACCCCGACCTGATCGAGGACCACGCCCTCAAGGCCTTCGCTCTGGGCATCCTCAAGGTGTGCGACATTGCCCGCGAGAAGGTCAACAAAGCTGCCGTGTTCGAGGAGGTAAGCCACTTGGTCCCTTAGGGCTTTTGCACACACACAGTCACGCCAATGGCCATAAAAATTGGCAAGACGGCACCAACAGATCTGGGACCAGGGTAACGCACACCATCTCCTATAATCCCGTCTATGGGACACAGTTAGGCTTGCAAAATTCTGGAAACTTTCAATAAATTCCCTGGTTTTCCAGAACTCCTGGTTGGAGGTTTACGGGAATCAGAAGAGAATATAAGCAGGAAATCCGGAATCCTCCAACCAGGATTTCTGGAAAACCAGGAAATGTATTGAAAGTTCACAGAATTTTGCAACTTACTGTACCTCCTAGGTCTTCTGATCTGAAACAACACTTTGTTTGGTTATATATGTAATATTCAAGATCCTGTTCTATGTTCTGTGTCTAGGAGGATTTCCAGGCCATGACGTATGGCTTCAAGATGGCCAACAATGTGACAGATTTACGGGTTACAGGTGATGTTCATGTGATGGGTTTAGTCAGTGTTGTGGTCAATTTTTGGCATTGGCGGTATAGAATATATATGTAGTAATGTGTGTGTACCAAATTAACCTTATATATGTCAATGGCACCAACAGGTATGCTAAAGGATGTGGAGGACGAGTTACAGAGAAGAGTTAAGGTACAGTACTTGCACACTACTTTCTTCCCGTGAACTAACAACTGAACATGACTACACTCTGGCAGAATGGCGAAACACATTACTGAATAATATCGCTCATCCTTAACTTCGATGACCGCAAGTGTGTACCTCCAACAGAACTGCACAGCTCATCCGTCACAAGTTATCTCCTCTTCCTCTCTCTCCTTTCCCTCTCCCTCTGTCATTCCCTGTTTTTCGCTCCCCATCATCTCCCATAGAGCACACGCAGTCGCCAGGGCGAGCAGCGGGACCCAGAGGTGGAGTTGGAGGTAAGACTCTCAATCACTCTCTCCCTATGGGTATATCCACCAGTCCACCCTATCATCTCTCAAATCCAATGGCCTATTCTCAAATCAACCCAAAAATGTATGCCCTATACACTGTTGATCTAAGAGACTTTGATAGGTCTAAGCAATATGGTAAAATTCCCACCTAGCTTATCAGAGGAACACTTAAAGCCTTATCTATACACCTATCAAATTATATCAGAGTGCATATGGTGTGGTGTAGTGTAGCATCTAGGGGTCAATTTGGGATTCGCCATATATTCCCTGCCTTCTGCCATGCCCAGTCCAGCAGAGCTTAAGAGTGAGGCAGCCTTTCAGTGAGACAAGCCTGGAAATATGCAGCCGTTTCAACAACAAAAAAGGATCAATCCCCCAAAATGGAGAGGTTTCTGGGTGGTCGGAATGAACATTGTGCGACAGAGCTAAATATGTGTGTCCCTAGGGCCTACAAAGATATATTGTGTGTTTTTGAGATTGTGTGTGACTTAACCTTTTTCTGTGCCTCCTTTCTCAGCATCAGCAGTGTATTGCACTTTTCAGTAGGATCAAGTTTACACGTCTTCTACTGACAGCGCTGATCGCCTTCACTAAGAAAGAGGTAACACACACACATTTAGCTTAGCTTTACTAAGAAAGAGGTAACACACACACATTTAGCTTAGCTTTACTAAGAAAGAGGTAACACACACACATTTAGCTTAGCTTTACTAAGAAAGAGGTAACACACACACATTTAGCTTAGCTTTACTAAGAAAGAGGTAACACACACACATTTAGCTTAGCTTTACTAAGAAAGAGGTAACACACACACATTTAGCTTAGCTTCACTAAGAAAGAGGTAACACACACACATTTAGCTTAGCTTCACTAAGAAAGAGGTAACACACACACATTTAGCTTAGCTTCACTAAGAAAGGGGTAACACACACACATTTAGCTTAGCTTTACTAAGAAAGAGGTAACACACACACATTTAGCTTAGCTTTACTAAGAAAGAGGTAACACACACACATTTAGCTTAGCTTTACTAAGAAAGAGGTAACACACACACATTTAGCTTAGCTTTACTAAGAAAGAGGTAACACACACACATTTAGCTTAGCTTCACTAAGAAAGAGGTAACACACACACATTTAGCTTAGCTTTACTAAGAAAGAGGTAACACACACACATTTAGCTTAGCTTTACTAAGAAAGAGGTAACACACACACATTTAGCTTAGCTTTACTAAGAAAGAGGTTCATGTGCATAACGGTATGCTGATTTGATTTTTGATTTGGCGTGTAATTGGTTGACTGATGTGTGATGTCATGTTGGCTCTGTCAGACCAGCTCAGTGAGTGAAGCCCAGAAACTCATGCAGCAGGCAGCATATCTCCTCCCAGCCCTCCACTCTAACATTGAACATGGCATTCAGTCCCAGAACGATACTACTAAAGGAGGTAACACACACTACACCATGGCACCTAGGCCCAATGTGTCCAACACTACCGTAAGAGGCAATGCTACACTCACTTGGAGAAACTCTGACCGCAATTGAGCCACTCACAGTTCTGAACCCTGACCTCCCCCCTGCGTTCCAGATAACCCAATCATGATGGGGTTTGAACCGCTGGTGAACCAGAGACTGCTGCCCCCCACCTTCCCCCGCTATGCCAAGATCATCAAGAGGGAGGAGATGGTCAATTACTTCAGCAAGCTCATCGACCGCATCAAGACTGTGTGCGAGGTCATCAACACAACTAACCTACATGGAATTCTGGTACGGGCCCATTGTAACGCCAAGGTAGTGGGTTCGATCCCCGGGACCACCCATACACAAAAATGTATGCACGCATGACTGTAAGTCGCTTTGGATAAAAGCGTCTGCTAAATGGCATATTATATTATTATTATATTATTACTACAATAATAATTTTGAACATTACTGTAATACTACATTCTGACAATGGTTCTGGAATGGTCTGCTTGTTGTGTGAAAATTTGCTAAAGGTTGTAGTAATGTTTTAATGTTCTGCTTTCAGGACTTTTTCTGCGAGTTCAGTGAGCAGTCCCCTTGCGTCCTCTCCAGGTCTCTGCTGCAGGTACGCAGCATTCTCCCTTGTGATTGGTGCATCTGGACAATTCTCTCTTCTGATTGGTCCAGTTCTGATGAATCCCCTCCCTGTCTCTAGACAACGTTCCTGATTGATAATAAGAAAGTGTTTGGGACCCAACCAATGCAGGACATGATCAAAGACGCTCTGAGGTACTTTGTCAGCCCGCCAGTGCTCTCCTCCAAGTAAGTCATCGAAGATTGGAGTGCTTCTTTCTATGCCCAACCTTCAAATGCTTTAGAAATGCAACCTTCCTTGAATTCATAACAGATCTGAATTGGTTGGAGTGGTGTTTAAAATGGTGGCAATGTTGCTTTCACCTATCAAATACCACAAAGGAAGGAAAGATGTGTTTCTGAGGTATTCGAACAGGGCCTACGTGTTTGTGTAACAGATCTGAATTGGTTGGAGTGGTGTTTAAAATGGTGGCAATGTTGCTTTCACCTATCAAATACCACAAAGGAAGGAAAGATGTGTTTCTGAGGTATTCGAACAGGGCCTACGTGTTTGTGTTAAAGCTCTATCTCTAAAACTGACTGATCCATGCGTTGCCTCTGCAGGTGCTGCCTGCATAATAACCAACAGGCCAAGGACTACATTGACTCCTTTGTCACACACTGTTCAAGGGTAAGTCACCTGGCTGCGTTCCAAGACCTCTTTTCTCTATATTAATGCCACAATCCTTCATTCGTGTTTTTCCAGCCCAAACAGCATCCCCGCCACTTGGTTAGCTATGAAGTTGAGGGGTAGAGCTTGGGGAAATGTTACCACTAATTTATAGATGGAGCCGTGGCTCTGACAGTCCTTGAGATCAACATGATAGTTTTAAACATACTTTGAAGCTATTATTACCATTTTTTCTCCAATCAATGGACTAAAACAACCTTGTTCGGTTTCCCTGCAGCCCTTTTGCAGTCTCATCCAGATCCACGGACACAACCGCGCTCGGCAAAGAGACAGACTAGGGCACATCCTGGAGGAGTTTGCCACGCTGCAGGATGAGGTGTGTGTGTGTGTGAGAGAAGCACAGCATTTGAGTAGGCGTTGCTGTTTAGTGATGTAAATGATCTAAAATGTGTGTGCGCACACTTGACTGTATGTTGCTGTTCTCCTGTGGTTGACTTATGGGACTGGTGCGGGGGCGCCCCCTGCAGGCAGAGAAGGTGGACGCGGCACTGCACAGCCTGCTGATGAAGCTGGAGCCCCAGAGACAGCACCTGGCCTGCCTGGGCACCTGGATCCTCTACCACAACCTGCGCATCATGATCCAGTACCTGCTCAGCGGCTTCGAGCTGGAACTCTACAGCATGCACGAGTACTACTACATCTACTGGTGAGGATTGTGCGCACGTGTGTGTGTGTGTTCCATGTGTACACTTGACTGAGGTGTGTGTGTGTGCAGGTATCTGTCAGAGTTCCTGTATGCGTGGATCATGTCCACTCTGAGTCGGGCGGACAGCTCTCAGATGGCTGAGGAGCGCCTCATGGAGGAGCAGCAGAAAGGACGCAGCAGCAAGAAAACCAAGAAGAAGAAGAAAGGTCAAGGAGGTCAGGATCAAGTCATACATTATTTACATTGCATTGAATACATCTGGGAGTACATCGCCCTTGCCCCATCCATAACTTGTTCCTCAATGAGAATGTGTTTCCACCTGCATAAACACACGCACACACACACACACTGAACTCCTGTCTCTGGTGCAGACTATGATGGCTCTGGATATGGACGGGAAGGTGCGGAAGCCCCAGTTTGAGTTGGACAGCGAGCAGGTGCGCTACGAGCATCGCTTTGCCCCCTTCAACAGCGTGGTCACACCACCGCCAGTCCATTACATCCAGTTCAAGGTATAGTACATTTACATTTTAGTCATTTAGCAGACGCTCTTATCCAGAGCGACTTACAGGAGCAATTAGGGTTAAGTGCCTTGCTCAAGGGCACATTAACGTCATTTAGCAGACGCTCTTAGCCAGAGCGACTCACAAATTGGTGCGTTCACCCTATAGCCAGTGGGATAACCACTTTACAATTTGGGGGGGGGGGGGGGTAGAAGGATTACTTTATCCTATCCCAGGTATTCCTTAAAGAGGTGGGGTTTCAAATGTCTCCGGAAGGTGGTGAGTGACTCCGCTGTCCTGGCGTCGTGAGGGAGCTTGTTCCACCATTGGGGTGCCAGAGCAGCGAACAGTTTTGACTGGGCTGAGCGGGAACTATGCTTCCGCAGAGGAAGGGGAGCCAGCAGGCCAGAGGTGGATGAACGCAATGCCCTCGTTTGGGTGTAGGGACTGATCAGAGCCTGAAGGTACAGAGGTGCCGTTCCCCTCACTGCTCCATAGGCAAGCACCATGGTCTTGTAGCGGATGCGAGCTTCAACTGGAAGCCAGTGGAGTGTGCGGAGGAGGGGGGTGACGTGAGAGAACTTGGGAAGGTTGAACACCAGACGGGCTGCGGCATTCTGGATGAGTTGTAGGGGTTTAATGGCACAGGCAGGGAGGCCAGCCAACAGCGAGTTGCAGTAGTCCAGCCGGGAGATGACAAGTGCAATCATGATCCAGTAGTAGTGTGTTACCAACCGTCGCTAGCTATGACTGTGTGCTTGCGTTTTCATGTGTCTGTGGTGCGTTCCAGGTCGACGTAATTGCAGACGAGCTGCAAAGGGAATGACATGTTATAGTGGAGATAAAAAAAAAGACAATCTGTAACGTGACCTGTTTCTCTCCGTGTGTGTCGGCTGTAGGAGATGTCTGATCTGAAAAAGTACAGTCCTCCTCCCCAGTCAGCTGACCTCTACATGGCGGCCAGCAAACACTTCCAGCAAACCAAACTCATCCTGGAGAACGTCCCCAGCCCCGACCCAGAGGTCAGCAAACCCTATAACCCCTAATAGCAGTAGTAGAAGCAGCAGCAGTAAAATAGATTGTGTCTCATGTTTGTGGGTCTGAATTGCCACTTTTAATTTGCTGATTGTTGCAGGTGAATCGCATCCTAAAAGTTGTCAAACCCAACATTGTGGTCATGAAGCTACTTGCCGGGGGGCACAAGGAGACAAAGGTAACAACACATCATAATGCAATGAGAAAAACGTGCCACAAAATATATTGGGGAATTTAAACATTTCTGGGGCATTATTGTTGTTGGGTGATCAAAATAATGGTACTCCCCATCTCTAGGTACTACCAGAGTTTGATTTCTCTGCTCACAAGTACTTCCCTGTGGTCAAGATCATCTGAATCCAAGCCCTGCGTTACTATGACAACTCAACCCAGTGCCCACCTCCCTGACTCAAGTGTGGCGTGTGAGCCCAAAACGGAGACCAACTCAACAATATTCCTGTCTGTGTTACTGTGCGTCACTCTGGTAGGACAGAGACAGTCTGAATTGGATAGTTTGAGGACGCAACATTGTTATATGTCCCATTATGGCACCTGAGATCATGGCCATTTGCATTTTGAAGTAGTCAATTTTCTTCTACTCCTTCTATGAGTTGGTAAACAAACTCAAAGGTTGCATACTGCCACCTATGGTGTGTTGTTTGAGCAGGTATAAAGCCAGATTTACTGCCACCTGCAGTTATGGAATGCTTTCTGACAAGTATAATTCATTGGCTGATCCCTCCTGATGACTAGCATGGAATTATGTGATCTTCCTTAACCCATAGGAAGTCCCACCCAGTTGACTACTTCAAAATGGTGAAAGACCTCAATTGCACTGCCTTAGCTAAAACAGGCTTTTGGGCGCTAGAGTCCTCTACCTCTGTGGCATTGACCCACAAAAGACTACAAATACCAGACATCCTAAAGGACGGACAGAACTACATCCTCCACAATTGCCAAAATAAAAAACTTGGCTCTGGTATTAAAATGATTTATTTTTCGTCATCTGTCATACACTTCCTCAATAAAAACCTATGATTATTTAACAGTTCAGAAAATGTGTTAATCGACAGTTCAGTAAGCAACAAATACATTGTAACAATCTAACGGCAACAAAAATCCATTGTACAAAATTAAAAACCTATGCACAAGCAAAATATGTTCAACCATGATTTCCATTTGAATGACTCCGCTATATAAAAAAAAATATATACAAATGTTTGGATTTGAAACATTTACAGTAGTGGGTCTGCCTGGTACACCAAGGATGCACAGAGGCCACTTTTTTATCAACATAATTCAGGTCTTGGAAAAAAAGAAACCATATCAATAAGTTAAAAATAGTTATTCTGTTGTGAGCAGGACACATGACCTTCAACCCTGCATGGTCAAAGCTTGAATGATCCCTGCAAACATTTCAAATGATAAAACAAAAACCTCATTACATTTTTCTAGTTTACATTTTGTCATACAGCCGTGTTACCCAATTGTGAGTTACTTCAGAGAGAAAAGTACAGTATGAAATTAAACCTTTTCTACTGGTTTGTGAGACTACGGTAAGATAACTGCTTGAACGTAACTAACTGCACATTAAGTCATTATCAAGACTAAAGAGTGAATCAGAATCGCTGAGTAGATGACGATTAGGTGAGTAATCGGAGTACAGTTCTCTAACAGCATGATCTGGGTTTTGTGTTATCACACACACACTACAATTTCATTTTCACACGTCCTACATGGTTTTACAGCAGTTCTGAGAACCAAAGACCGGTTTCACGTTTTCCTGACAAAATATACATTTACTGCAGAAGACTTGAGTATATTAAGGCAAAACGTAAGATGCTTTCACTTGAGTAGAAGAGTCTGTGTTGCACTACGGTAGTCTTGACCATTGCCAGTTCTGTCAAGGAGCTGTAGTCTCTCCCTGGTTCTGTAGTGGATCGTGAATGTGAAAGGAGGGGGGGGGTCTTAGCTCCCATCTTTCACCTACCACCTAACAAGACCAAACAGTTGATCATTATATCACTAAAACAGAGTGTGTTTTTACCTCAGAACTGCGCGAGCTCTGCCTGTTTGTCAGCCTCAAACTCTCCCTCGTTCTCATCGTCTCCGTTGTAGTTTGCCAGCTCCTCATACATTTCCCGGTCAGCCTCCTTATCTACGAGTGAACACATCACCATCTTTACTATATGGATCTTTACACACACAGACCCGTTGTAGGAGTGTGATGGTTAGGACCGCTCTGTAGGAGTGTGATGGTTAGGACCGCTCTGTAGGAGTGTGATGGTTAGGACCCCTCTGTAGGAGTGTGATGGTTAGGACCCCTCTGTAGGAGTGTGATGGTTAGGACCCTCTGTAGGAGTGTGATGGTTAGGACCCTCTGTAGGAGTGTGATGGTTAGGACCCCTCTGTAGGAGTGTGATGGTTAGGACCCTCTGTAGGAGTGTGATGGTTAGGACCCTCTGTAGGAGTGTGATGGTTAGGACCCCTGTGTAGGAGTGTGATGGTTAGGACCCTCTGTAGGAGTGTGATGGTTAGGACCCTCTGTAGGAGTGTGATGGTTAGGACCCTCTGTAGGAGTGTGATGGTTAGGACCCCTCTGTAGGAGTGTGATGGTTAGGACCCCTCTGTAGGAGTGTGATGGTTAGGACCCTCTGTAGGAGTGTGATGGTTAGGACCCTCTGTAGGAGTGTGATGGTTAGGACCCTCTGTAGGAGTGTGATGGTTAGGACCCCTCTGTAGGAGTGTGATGGTTAGGACCCCTCTGTAGGAGTGTGATGGTTAGGACCCTCTGTAGGAGTGTGATGGTTAGGACCCCTCTGTAGGAGTGTGATGGTTAGGACCCCTCTGTAGGAGTGTGATGGTTAGGACCCCTCTGTAGGAGTGTGATGGTTAGGACCCTCTGTAGGAGTGTGATGGTTAGGACCCCTCTGTAGGAGTGTGATGGTTAGGACCCCTCTGTAGGAGTGTGATAGTTAGGACCCCTCTGTAGGAGTGTGATGGTTAGGACCCCTCTGTAGGAGTGTGATGGTTAGGACCCTCTGTAGGAGTGTGATGGTTAGGACCCTCTGTAGGAGTGTGATGGTTAGGACCCCTCTGTAGGAGTGTGATGGTTAGGACCCCTCTGTAGGAGTGTGATGGTTAGGACCCCTCTGTAGGAGTGTGATGGTTAGGACCCTCTGTAGGAGTGTGATGGTTAGGACCCCTCTGTAGGAGTGTGATGGTTAGGACCCTCTGTAGGAGTGTGATGGTTAGGACCCTCTGTAGGAGTGTGATGGTTAGGACCCCTCTGTAGGAGTGTGATGGTTAGGACCCCTCTGTAGGAGTGTGATGGTTAGGACCCTCTAGGAGTGTGATGGTTAGGACCCTCTGTAGGAGTGTGATGGTTAGGACCCTCTGTAGGAGTGTGATGGTTAGGACCCTCTGTAGGAGTGTGATGGTTAGGACCCTCTGTAGGAGTGTGATGGTTAGGACCCTCTGTAGGAGTGTGATGGTTAGGACCCTCTGTAGGAGTGTGATGGTTAGGACCCCTCTGTAGGAGTGTGATGGTTAGGACCCCTCTGTAGGAGTGTGATGGTTAGGACCCTCTGTAGGAGTGTGATGGTTAGGACCCCTCTGTAGGAGTGTGATGGTTAGGACCCTCTGTAGGAGTGTGATGGTTAGGACCCCTCTGTAGGAGTGTGATGGTTAGGACCCCTCTGTAGGAGTGTGATGGTTAGGACCCTCTGTAGGAGTGTGATGGTTAGGACCCTCTGTAGGAGTGTGATGGTTAGGACCCTCTGTAGGAGTGTGATGGTTAGGACCCCTCTGTAGGAGTGTGATGGTTAGGACCCCTCTGTAGGAGTGTGATGGTTAGGACCCCTCTGTAGGAGTGTGATGGTTAGGACCCTCTGTAGGAGTGTGATGGTTAGGACCCTCTGTAGGAGTGTGATGGTTAGGACCCTCTGTAGGAGTGTGATGGTTAGGACCCCTCTGTTGAACATCGGAGCTTGTGGTTGTTTGTGGGGGAAAGGGCTCGAGTGTGTGTGTGTGTATGTATCCCACATCTGTTGCTATGGGGTCATGATGTTAGGGTCAATATAGGATTATTCACAATAATTGTTTGCTAAAATAATAATTGCTTGCCAAAAATGTAATCTTTGTAATGGCAATACTGGTTATAGGTAGCAATCCTTCGCATGAACTCCCTACATTATTATGCATATTATTCGTGAATTGTGGAAATTAAGATACACAAGATTTGATGAAACTGGCTCTCATGAGGACCGCCACAGGAATAGAAGACCCAGAGTTACCTCTGCTGCAGAGGATAAGTTCATTAGACTTACCAGCCTCAGAAATTGCAGCCCAAATAAATGCTTCACAGAGTTCAAGTAATAGACACATCTCAACATCAACTGTTCAGAGGAGACTGTGTGAATCAGGCCTTCATGGTCGAATTGCTGCAAAGAAACCACTACTAAAGGACACCAATAAGAAGAAGAGACCTGCTTGGGCCAAGAAACATGAGCAATGGACATTAGACCGGTGGAAATGTGTCCTTTGGTCTGGAGTCCAAATTGGAGATTTCTGGTTCAAACCGCCATGTCTTTGTGAGACATGGTGTGGGTGAATGGATGATCTCCGCATGTGTAGTTCCCACCGTAAAGCATGGAGGAGGAGGTGTTATGGTGTGGGGGTGCTTTGCTGGTGACACTGTCTGTGATTTATTTAGAATTCAAGGAACACAGTATTCTTCAGCGATACGCCATCCCATCTGGTTTGCGCTTAGTGGCACTATCATTTGTTTTTCAACAGGACATTGACCCAAAACACACCTCCAGGCTGTGTAAGGGCTATTTGATCAAGAAAGAGAGTGATGCAGTGCTGCATCAGATGACCTGGCCTCCACAATCACCCCATTTTTTATCAGGACAGCTGTGATGGAAACCGGAAGTTTCGGTACAAGTTTATAAATGCCTACAGATGACTTGTTAGTTCAACATGGTGGGATCTTTTTGTGTCTGTCAAATTAATTATGCGAGAAATGGCGGTGGAAATGCCTTTATGCACAAATATGGATATAATAACCATCAGCTGGTTTGGAGATGACATAGCCTAATACAGGCAGAAGCATGTCTGTTTTACAAAATATATTCCTAAACACATTTTTCTCATTTAATTTTCTCTGTTGCACTGAACTGACATGCATGATTGTTGATGACACTCCGATGTCCAGATGAAGGGAATTAAATAGTCTATAATGCGCACCACAGCAGCGCTCAATTCAGACAGGGGTGTGAAGCCTACTGTAGATGGTAAAGTCATTCAAAGCCTATACTTGATCACTCAGGATGTAACTTTCCAGTGCTGCTGTT